GAAAATCCAAAGATCAGCACTGGGCGGGGGCCGCTGCAGCCGCCTCTAACGTTGAAGCTGCCGCCGCCGCCGCTGTTGCTGCTGGCCAGTTGCCGACACACACCGCCGCCGTTGCTCTTCTCACTGCTGTGCGTGCCGCCATTGCCATCTCCCGGGCCGTGGGTGTTGACCGATTCCGGAGTTATCGCGGCTGCTGCTGGATATAGGGTTGCTAGGTTAGGGGGTGTGGGTGTGTGTGGGTTCTTCTACTACCAAGCCTAGGGGTGTGTTAAATTATATATATATTACATAATTGTAGGCTTGGTAGGCGTTACTGGAACCTACTGTAGAGAGTACAATACCCCTCCTTGTATCCCTCTCTCTTCTTTTCTAGTTCTCTTTTCTCTCACCAACTTTCCTACCCTAAAACCTCACGCCATTTCCATGGCTCCTCCTACCTAGATCCTAGTTTTAAGACATGGTAACAGAGCCGGTTCCCTTCCCCGGCCTGCTCCCCTCGCTTCCGCCGCGCACTCCCTCCCCGTCATGCCGCGCTGGCCCCGTCGCGCCGCGCTGGCCCCGTCAATCCGCGCTGGCCCCGTCGCGTCGCACGGGCCACGCTTCCGCCACATACCCGTCCTTACTTCGCCGCCGTCGCGGCCTTCCGTTTGCCTGCCGCCGTGGCACATTTTCCGAGATGCCGAGGCGGCCTCTGCGTGCTGTCATCTCAGCGTCGACGAGCAGCCGCGGCCCCGACGCCACGCTGTGGTGGCGTCGTAGTGGTGCCGTGGCTGTGTCGTCGGCCTGTTGCCGTCGCGCACCACCTGCGTCGCTGCTGGATTTGCAGCCCGCCCACCCGCCAGTAAGCGCCGCGCCAGCAATGGCGCCGCGCTGAAGATCCGACACCCCGCCCCTTCCCCCTTTCCTCTGTCGCCTCCTCTTCGCCACCGCCGCCGCCTGACTCTCGCCGCTCGTCCCCCTGTCGCGGAGTTTGGACATGCCGCCGGAAGGGCGGGGACCGCTGCCGTTACCACCGTCGTAAGCCGAAGCCGTCGCCGTCGCCGCTGTCGTCACCGCAGGCCTGTTGCCGCCGCACGCCCGTCGTCGCCGTCGCTGTCGCCGCTGCCGGGACGGCCGCCGTTGCCATCTCCAGGGCCTTGGGGTTGGCCCTGCTTCAGTCGTCGTGGCTGATGGGAATGGGGGTGGTAGGTTAGGGGGTGTGGGGGTGTGTGGGTCCTACTACCAAGCCTGGGGGGTATGTTAAATTATATATGTTAGTATATAATTGTAGGCTTGGTAGTGGTTACTAAACATTACTGTAGAGGGTATAACATGTCAGAAACCCAGTCACTAACCACTGGGTTAAAAGGGCTTGTTGAATAGCGGGTAAGTGCGCCCATAGCCCCCCAGGCTCTGCACCTGTGGCCCTTCCACGAGGATCTTTTTAAGGGTAACCCAGCGGGTCACTCGACACCCCCCCTCGCTGGGATAGGTGGAAGACACGAGCGCCTCTGCAGCGCTGGCACTGGGACTAGAATCCAAGACCTTTGGCTCTGATACCATGTCAGAAACCCAGTCACTAACCACTGGGTTAAAAGGGCTTGTTGAATAGCGGGTAAGTGCGCCCATAGCCCCCCAGGCTCTACACCTGTGGCCCTTCCACGAGGATCTTTTCAAGGGTAACCCAGCGGGTCACTCGACACAACACCCCTCCCTGTATCCCTCTCTCTTCTTTTATAGTTCTCTTTTCTCTCACCAACTTTCCTACCATAAAACCTCACGCCATTTCCATGGCTCCTCCTACTTAGATCCTAGTTTTAAGACATCCCTCTCTCTTCTATTCTCGACCTCTTTTCTCTATTCAACATTTCTAGCCCCCTCCTCCTCCTCCTCCCCGTCCCGCCCCCTCTGGTGTGTCCCACGTCACCCCCCTTCCGTCGGAGGACCCGGTTGAGGAGTCTTCTGACTCTGGTGGCCCTCCTGTGCAGTCCTCGCCGGCCGCCCCTCCCCCGGCGTCCCCTCCCCAGTCCCCTCCTCCACCGCCTCTGCCGCCGCTGCAGCCGTCGTTGCCGCCGCCGCCGCCGCCGCCGCCGTCGCAGCCCCCGTTTGCTGACTCTGGGGGTGCTCGTCCCGGTCGCCCTGGGGGTGGCCCCTCTGGGGGTGCTGGTGTGGAGAGTGCCGGTGGTAGCCGCGGAGCAGCTTGCGGTCCAGGTGTCGCCGTTGTGCCGCCGCAGCAGCAGTCCCCGCCGGTGTCAGCCCTTCGCCTGCTCGGCCTTCCGTCCCCCGACCCTGCGTCTGTTCCTCTCCTGCCGTCTCCTCCTCTTCCTGTCTACGGCCCTGTTTCCCCCCCGCCGGACTCGTCCCCGGCCCGTCTCCCCCCTCGTTCCCCTACTGTGTCCCCTCCCCTGCCTCCTGACCCGACTCCTCCGTCACACGTCTGGTCTCACCGTCCCTCCCGTGCTCGTCCTGCCTCGCCTGTCTTGCGCTCCCACCCTATGTTGCTTCGTTCCCACGCGTCTCGTCCTCCCCTTCTGCCGTCGCCTCCTCCGACCTCCCTTGTTGTTGCACCCCCCCCGCTGTCTGACTACCTTCGTGCCGCTCGTCCCCTTGTTCCTCGGGTCCTTGCCTCTCTCGTTGCCGACCCGTCTGTTCCGGTCTCGTGCCTTGACGCTCTTGTCGCTGCTGTCGCTGACTTCGCCTCTTCCCGCCGCCTTGACTACGCCACAGCTCTGGTCTCTGACCCTGCCTGTCCTCCGTCTGTCGGGGGTGCTCCTGCCCTTGGCAGTGACGTCCTGGAGGACCGCCAGTTCGAGCTTGCTTTCCTCTCCGAGGCTGCTCCCCATCTCTGTTCCATGCTGCTAGTCCCTGAGGGTGACCCAGACGCTTTCGACATCCCGACCCCTCGCACTTACGCTGAGGCGACTTCGGGACCCTGGGCCTCGCAGTGGATAGCTGCCATGGAGCAGGAGATGGCATCTTGGAGATCCACCGGCACCTTCGTCGACGCAGTTCCCCCACCTGGGGTGAACGTAGTCGATGGCCGCTGGCTCTTCAAGGTGAAGCGCCCTCCTGGAGAGCCGCCTGTCTTCAAGGCGCGCTATGTGGCTAGAGGCTTCAGTCAGCGCGAGGGGGTGGACTTCTTCCAGACCTTCGCTCCGACCCCGAAGATGACTACTCTTCGGGTTCTGTTACACCTAGCTGCTCAGCGTGACTACGAGCTTCACTCCCTCGACTTCTCCACTGCCTTCCTTCAGGGCAGCCTACACGAGCAGGTCTACTTGCGTCGCCCTCAGGGCTTTACTGGCACCTTCCCTCCTGGGACCCAGTGGCTCCTGCGGCGCCCCGTCTACGGCCTGCGCCAGGCTCCCCGTGAGTGGCACGACACTCTCCGTGCTACGCTTGCTGACCTGCAGTTCTTTCCGTCTTCCGCAGACCCTTTACTCTTCGTTCGTGCTGGCCAGACCCCGTTCTACATCCTTGTTTACGTCGACGACCTGGTCTTTGCCACAGCAGACAGGGACGCACTGGCCTCCGTGAAGGCAGAGCTGCTGAAGAGACACACGTGCACTGACCTTGGAGAACTGCGCCGCTACCTTGGCTTGCAGATCTCCAGGGACAGAGCAGCGCGCACCATCACCCTGACTCAGCCACACTTGGTGCGCCAGGTCCTTCAGAGGTTCAGCCTTCAGTTCTCCTCTGCACAGCCCACCCCTCTGCCTGTAGACCACAGACCCTCCGCTCCAGTGTCTGAGGAGTTGGTAGAGCCCAGCGGCCCCTACGCAGAGCTGGTGGGTTGCCTCATGTACCTGATGACTTGCACTCGCCCAGATCTCGCATACCCTCTCAGCATCCTGGCTCGCTTTGTGGCCACAAGCAGACACCGACCGCAGCACTGGTCTGCCGCTAAGAGGGTCCTGCGTTATCTTGCTAGTACATCGGGCATGGGGTTAGTGCTAGGAGGACGCAGGCCAGTGGTCCTTACTGGACACACAGACGCTTCGTGGGCAGACGACGCCGAGACACTCAGGTCTACCCAGGGCTACTGCTTCAGCCTTGGCTCAGGTGCCGTCTCGTGGAGAGCTACCCGCTCCTCGTCTGTTGCGCAGTCCAGCTGTGAGGCTGAGATCTACGCTGGTGCCATGGCGGCACAGGAGCTCCGCTGGCTGACTTTCTTGCTCACTGACTTAGGTGAGCAGCCTAGCTCTGCCCCGATCCTGTTCGCTGACAACAGGGCCATGATCCTCCTGTGTCAGGAGCCTCGACTCGAGGGCAGAGCGAAGCACATTCAGCTGCGGTACTTCCTCCTACGTGAGCTACAGCAGCGATGTCAGGCTCGCGTAGTACACTTGGCCTCAGGTGCCAACACGGCTGATATCTTTACGAAAGCGCTTGCGCCTAAAGATCATCAGCGGCACTGTGTACAGCTTGGTCTAGTTCCTGTAGCCTCTCACTTGCTAGGACCTTGACTTTGTACTGTCCTTTATATGTATACTCAGACTGGACTTGTGTCCTCTCCTAGTGGCTGGACTAGTAGTGCCGCCCTGCTCTTGTTCTTGCCTTGTCTGTACCCCGTTTGACTGGTCTATCAGACCCTTGTCTCAGAGGTTGGACTAGTAGTGCCGCCCTGAGCTGCTTGTTTAGGACATTCCCCTATGCAGTCTAGGGGGTGTGTCAAACATGTGTATTTGACATGTTTGTATAGACTGTATAGGGTCACCTCTTAGAGGGAACAACTCTTAGGTATATCTTTGTGTAACTCTTCTCTCTCATCATTTACTTCTCTATTTTGATACCTAAAACCTCACGCCATTCCATGGCCGGCTTCCCTTCCTAGCTACCTAGCCTATCGTGACAGGGAGGGGAGGGGAGGGAATAGGGTGTGTGGTCTAGGTGTTGTTGAGCCTGAGAAAGGACCAGCATGCATGGTCCATGGGCCATCGTCTTTGCAGGTTACGGGTAACCCTTGGCCAAACACCCAGGACAAGCACAGTTGCCCAAAGCACATGGACAGTCATTGCCTTGAAATGTATTAGCGCAGTATACACTATGTATGTCTGTATGTGTATATATATAATGTGTCTATGTTAATACACTAGTATTCTAGCTAGAGCCTAGTTGGCAGAAGGTGCAAGGCATACTAGATTAGAAATACTGGGTGGGTGAAACAGCCAATCAGAAGACTTAGCTGCCCTGCCCCCTACCTGACGGCCCAGAAATTACCAAAATCAGCAGCCGCTGCCGGCCTATCCGCCAAGGTGGCTACTGATAAAAAGGGGTGTCTTCTGTGAAGCTGGCCTTCACATGGTGATGCTCCTGTGAGCACCAGGCGGCACGCACACTCGCACATGTGAGAAACGCTGCTGCAGGCACATGAGCCCCTTCACAAACAGCTCCTGCCGCTTCACTGCCCCCATGCACTCGCCCTGTCCTGCTGCTGTAGCAGCGACTGTAGCACAGTTAGCAGGTGCTGCTGCTGCTGCTGCTGCTGCTGCTGCTGCTGCATCATCAACGCTCATGCTGCCCTCTTCCCCCACAACCATATCAACATCCTTCTCCTCCTCCTCCCACTCCTCTTCCTCCATATCCACCTCTTCTTCTCCCACCTCCTCCCCCTCAACCTCCTCTCCCTCCTCATATCCCTCCTCCTCGTCCTCCTCCTCTTCCTCCTCTCCAGCCACCAGGCTCACCTGCAGCGCGCGCAGGGACGGCATGCGGCACAGCATGGTGTGCAGCAGCAGTAGCGCCTCGGGTCTCTCCTCCTGCACGCGCACTCTAATCTCCGCCAGCTGCGGCCACGGGTAACTCGCGCACATGGCGAACCCGCCACCCCCGCCTCCCGCGCCTTCCGCGCTTCCGCCATCCGCGCGGAACGCGCCCGCCGCGGCTGCCCAGGAGACGACCAGCTGCCAGGGCAGCGCGCCGAAGCTGAGCGCCTTCAGGTTCGGACACGACGCTGCGAGCCAGGTTAGGGAGAACACCCCAGCGGAGATCGCGCCGGCTCCCGCGGAGAAGAAATCTAGGGAGAAGGAGATTAAAGACGCCCCGGCGGTTTGGACCAGGGCTTTAATCGCCGCCCAGCCGAACGACCCGGCCTTGAGGTCCAGCGACGCGAGGCGCGGCGAATCAGGAGCCGCCACCTCGAGCACGCTCGCGCTGGCGACCGCCATGTGGCGCAGATCCGGCGCGTCGCGCACCGAGACGGAGCGCACGAACATGTCTCGCACAGATAGGGAGCGAAGCGCGCGGGCGTTGCGGAACACGCACGACTCGGCGCGCAGGTACGCGAGCTCGACGTGCTCCACTGTAGCGGGAAGGCGAAGGTTTATCCGCGGGCAGCCCGTGGCCATGAAAATGGAGAGGCGGCGAAGGTTCGGCGCAGCGTCGAGGACGGCTTGAAGCGTCTCATTGGACGCGTGAATCCAGGAGAGCGACAGGTGCTCCAGGTGGCGCATCGGCGGCAGTTGATACGTCAGCAGGGCCGAGGAGAGCGACAGGGAGCCTAACGTGAGGGAACGCAGCGATGAACAGTGGCGTGCCACGTGGCGCAGGTGCGCGCTGAGATCCTCGTTCTCCCACACGTTCACCGTCAACGCGCCACCGCCGCCGCAAGAGCCGCCGCAAGAGCCGCCGCAAGATCCGGCGCCGCCGCCGCCGCGAGGCGGAGCCTGGAGGGACCGCGACAGGACGAGCGACTGCAATTGCGATCCGACGTGGCGCATCCACGCCTCGAAGATGAACTCGCGCGGGTGCTGCTGCTGCTGCCGAGCCGCGTCGCAGCCGCAGAGATTGCAGGAGCCGTTCAAGTTGTCGTCGCCTTGAAACTGATTCGCGTGCTGCTGCTCCGCGGCGCCGCCGTTTTCGTCGCAAGAGCAGGCGGCGGCGCCGCCGCCGCAGCCGTCAGAGGCAGCAGCTGCTAGCGCCGACGCCACGTGGAGGTGCTGCAACGACCGCGTTTTAAGAACAATTCGTGACACGAGCTCCTCGAGCCGCGCCGGAGAGGCCGCCGCCGCCGCCGCGGAATGCGCGCGGCAGGAGGTAATCTGCTGCGCCGCAGCCGCTCGGTCATCGCCTGCCACGTGGCAAGCCACGTCAGACGGGGTGAAGCGCAGCGCCGGGACGTAACGCGTGAGAGCGCGCCACCGCCTGCACGTCAGCGAGAGGATGCTGACGCCCGCGGCGCCGCAGCCGACGCGCGCGAAGATATCGACGGCGAGCTCGTCCGGCAGGACGGCGAACGGGTCGCGGCGGGACGCCTCGAAAGCCGGCGGGGATTGCGGGGACGAGAACGGGTCAGCGGGTGACGCGCCGCCGAGTGACGGGGCGGAGGAGGGGGGAATTGCCAGAGCGGAGGGTCGAGACAGGCGGCGAGCGGAAAAGACGGACTCCGGGTTACCAGATGGTCCCGCTGAGCGAGTCGCCTGAGAGGTCGAGCGATAGCATGCGACGTCGCGCGCTGTCGCCGAGGCAGAATTAGCGAGCTCGCAGGTCTGCGACGTGCCGTCGCGGTTGGGTTTGCCGGGCGAGGCGAGCGGGAGGGGTTGCTGTTGCAGGCTTCCCATGGCTGCTCTAGAATCTCTGTCTGGCGATGCGCGAAAGAATTGACAGGCTGAGGGAGATTGATGGAGGGGAGGAAAATATCCAGTGGTGAACTCGTTTCGTTACTCGTTCGAACGGAGGAGAAAAGTTGGCTCGGGAACGGCGTGCACGGAAATACGCGAGTTCAGAGAATGGACGGCGGGTTGCTAAAGATCTCGAGAAAAAAACGGTTTCCAGAATGGAAGGCTGAAAGTCAAGGAAAGGAGATATTTTGCGAAAGTGAGTTAAGCAGGCAGGTCGGAGTTATAATAATCGCCAGGCGAGGCTGGTAAGACGCTTTGCTAAGGAAGGGGGGATCAGTGGAGGTGGGCTCTGCATGTGGTTCCACAGACCAGCACAGCAGCATGGAGGGAGAAACAGCAGGGAGGAGGGAGGGAGGGAAGGTCAACCGCCGCGTTATGGCGCCTTCAGTTCAGGGTGTGCTCTCCCGAAACAGTAAAGCACAGTGAAATCTTGACGCCCGGGCTGCATTGAACTCCGAAACTTTGCCAAATGCAGAAAGAATGCACAAAAGCGAGGAAGAAATGCGAAGGGAGGAGAGAAGCAAGGCAGAGCGCAGTGTACAGTAAAATGGTGGCTGAACAGTAGAGAGGCGCACATGACGGTTGCATCTTCCATGCTCGCTGCTCGGGCAGATGAGGGGAGCCATGGTGCCTGGCGGCGGCGATTCAACAAACATTCCTGTAAAATGCTGCCACCACCAGCGCACATGGCGTCCCTGCGCTTCAATTTCCCAGTGGCGAGTGAGATCTGGACGAGATAAGGGAAGGAATAAAGATGAATAGCGCGTGTCCAGCGCGTAGGTTTTTTTTTTGTCGAAACCCTACCCAACCGTTCTTTATTTGTTATCGACCCTTCTGATCCGTGAGGCACCTCACCCAACCGCAATCAAACGTACGCGCTGGACACGCCCTAAGCAGTTTTAAGTTTTGGCTAAGCTTTTCACGCAGCATAGAAAAACGATACAACGTAAAACCGAATCACGATGTCGACTTTCTTCTCGACATCAGGTATCCACTCTAAGAACCTGACGTTGGGTTTGAACACGCGCTAAGTGTGTACATTTCGTGTATGAACCCTGCTTGTCAAAATGTTGCAAACCCAGCTTGTGTGCTGACGGTGCTGCCCAATTTGTTTTGTGCCAGAGGAGGGAAGGAAGCGCGAGGCTGGGCAGAAACGCCTCACCCGTCATCGCGCTGACTCGTGGGCATTGAGGGCTGATAGACAGGCGAGTCGAAAAATATGGCACACTTACCAGAGTGTGGGGCAGGCCTCGCACGATATTGGGAACGGTTGGGTTGGGTGACTTCGTACAAGCATAAAAGACTCGTTTTCTGGGCAGGTTTCGTGTACTGTACGAGCTTCCACCTTCTAAGTGACATGGATTGACATCTCGTGTCGTCGTACAAGACGAGCTATTGGATGCATTCTGTTACAATCGCAAGCATCGGGTATCGTAGGTCTGAAATTGCACCGATAAATGACACTTTCAGTCCTATACGGACAAGGAGGCAAGGACTCCGACCCAGTGTGGGTGACATTTCACTTCACCTCACCACCCTCCACTCCACCGCATTGCACTGTACAGCACCAGCAGCACCCGCACCATCTTCCTGCGATCCACGTCATTGGTCCCACAGTGCAAGTGAATCCAGCTCACGCGTGACACACCCTTTCATGTGCGTGACACAATGCTGTGTGCATTCAACCAGAACAGTGCAACAAGTGATGCCGATTTCGATCTCGTCGGGGGGCGGGCGGGTCATCTGGATTCTGGTCCCTGGACCTGGAGACAAGTCGTCGCGACGCGATAGCAATCAATGGCTTTCACAACATTCGACTTCGCTGGACAGCAAGTGACGCTTGGCTCAGCGAATGCAGGTGCCTAGCGGTCAAAAGCCAATGGGATTCAGCTGACGGTGCAACGCTGGCGCATGTCAACGTCGAATGTGATTTCAGTACGATAGATATTTGATTTTCGCGAGCAAACGGACGGAACAAAGTCCCCGGTGTCCGCAAGTGTACACCATTGGGCAACAAGCTCACAAGGTCACATTTATTATTGAGCAATTTTCCCGCCAAAATCCCGCTGGCAACATGCACATCAATGTGAACGACAGACCCCCCTCGCTGTGCTGGAACAGTTGACCTACAGTGTTGTGGTTACAGTTCAGCAACATTCTTACGTCGAGTTCAATGCGGGTCAAACCAAAGCTGCCGTGTTGCAGGCTCGGAGAACCTTCGCAGGAGTGTGTGACGCAAAAAATTGACTTACCCAAAACCACAAGACCAGGGGAGTGCGAGGTGCTCTGTACACCCTAAAACTCGTTATAATCAAGCGTGTATGTCAGGCTGGCTGCGTTTTTTTTTTCGGAATGTGATTGTACGGGACCGCTCGGGGAACCGACCGCCAGGGGTATTTCCCGAGCCCCCGAAGAAGCAGGGGTGTATTCTGGAGTGACGAGTGTTTGGTCCCATGTGGAGGTAAACCAACGAGGTGGAAAAAAAAAAAAAAAAAAAACAAGAGGCGACGAAATCGTCTTAGGGTTGCGGAGCTCTATTGTATAAAAAAGATAAAAAAAAATACTTTTGCTAGTATACTACTCAGAAATAACCCAAACCCGAAGTAGACAACATTTAGAAGTGTATGTAAATGAAACATATTCTGTGTTTTTATATTAGTCAAATTATGAACATGTCACGACTGCCAAGCGTGAAAACCGCCACCTAGAGCTGGTTCTTCTATTTCCATGTTTTAGATTCTTATGTTACTTTTCTGTATTGTATATTATTACGCTACAATTCTTACTTTATCTCGTTTTCGTTTTCGTTTTAGTGTCGTCTTTCTCGATACTGTGCGATATGATTTCCCTGCCCGGTGGCGAAAGTTGCCACCTGGCAGATTTTGTTTTTTTGCGCCTAGCGGCGAGGCTCGTCACGCGCACAATTTCTGACGGAAATACTGTAGCCGTCCAGTGACGTGAAATTTGTTCTGCCACCCGTTCGGATTTTTTTTCGTCAAAGCGATCCGGCTTTTTCAGCGACGCGAATTACGAGGGCGTATTTTTAATTTCGAATTTCATTGATTTTCACCGATTAGTTGGTTGTGGAACTGGCAATACGCGAAACAATGAATTTCGAACTCGTAGTTCCGTAGTATTGAATGCAACACGTACAATTAGTCAAATAGATAAAACACGCCCTCACAAGCTCGAAAACAAGTTCACAAATTGCAATCTAGCTGGGCAGTTTCTGATGGAAACGAGAAAATAGATTGAACTTCCTTCAGAGCTGCGAGAGCCTGGCCGTTCCACCCACATTCTCCAACTTTTCTTTCTCCCTCTCACACAATTCTTCCTCCATTCCTCAATCTCACAGCTTTCTCGTCACCTCCAGCAGTTAGCGTTCTAGCGTTCCAGCCAAGGCCATCCCATAGTTGGGTTAAGTCATCGTTTCTCTCTCAGCTTGTCGTCAACCTCCTAACTGGATAGTCATGCTAGCTTTTCCCTCCTTTCTTTCCCTAGGCCTCTCTCTTCTTATATTCCTTGCTGTTTTCCTCCAACAAATAAGCATCCTCTCACTTTTTCCATATCTCTTATGTCTCTAGGTGCTCTAGCTTGTTAAGGAACCACGGGTAATCACCTTTCAACTTTATTTCAAGGTACGGATTCTACCCTCCCGCCATGCCCTTCTCCTCTGCTCTCGTCCATACCTTGTCTCAATTCTTCCTTTCTCCCACCATTACGGGAAATCGTTCCTTACGTCGCACTTCCTAATTCTCCATGTTTTCTTTGTTCATTGTCGTTCTCTTCATTTTTACGTCCTCTTATCCAGGTTTCACATGTCTCTTATTCTGCTAACCCTTGTGATCTGGCTGCAGGTTCGAAACTTTGAACCACTCTTATTATGCATCTGCTATCTTTTTATTGCATAATGCATACTTTATTGTTTTGAATTGTTTTGGCCTTTGCTAGGTGCATGCAGTCCTGTTGTGTGTTGTGCATGGGCACTCGTGGTAATACGTTTTGTGTGTCTCAAAATCTGGATTGCTTTTATCGTTTCGTGAAGGTCCTTTGACTCTCTCTGTGAGTGCGGTCAATTGACTTGAAATCGATATAGTAAATCAGGTTTTGGTATTCACAAAATTGCTTGTCAAAAAAAAATGCTTGTTGATGATTTTCTTGCTATCATAAAATGTATTATCTCACGGTCGACATAATAGGCTTTCGACTTCCCACGGTCCACACAATACGCCACTGGAAATCATGGGAAACAACGACAAACATTTTAGATTCAAATCAATTAGGGAAATTATTTTTTTTTGGAAGTTCTTTTTTTAAAAAGATTTGGTAGTTTTTTCCAAATCACAAACTTGAAAAAAAATTTCCTTAGGATCGATCGCAATAGGTTGCTCCGCAACCCAAAAAAAAAAAAAAAAAAAGGGTGGAAGGGATCAGCCAGAAAGACCCACGCACTGTAGCGAACCGCCAACTCTCCACAGAATGAAACATAATGTTTTGAATGGAGGGTTCACGCGACGAGGAGCTTCTGAAATCAACAGCTCAACCCATAAATGACTGTGATTTTTCCCATACTAAGACATTTGGTCTAGGGCAATGTGAAATTCCATTTCACAATGTGATCAGAAGCCGATATTTTTTTATGCTACGTGGTTTAAGACACTTATCTTGCGCCATTTTCTGATATCACTGTATGTTGTCGTTAGTGGTACTGTAGCTTGTCGTTAGTGGAAGGGGGAGAAGTTAGCGCCAACCGGGACGCTAATTTCAAAAAAAAAAGTCATGTGCGGGAAACTCTCGCTGACCTGGCGAGCGCCAAGAAGGTGATGACGCGACATCGCTATGGAAATGGATGATTTGTCGATGGCCACAAAGCCTGAGCAATAGGTGGTCCGGCTTGACTACAATCCCCATCGACAAACCACAATCACCCGCGTGGCTTCTCATCTGACTCATTTTCACCCTTGCTTGTGGTGCTCTTCGGGCTCTAATGGGAGAAGATTCTACGATGAGGTCAGCTAGTTGCTGACTTGGCGAGTTGTGATTCGAGCTTATGTGAAGTCCTGATATTCTCACGCGTCAGTTTCGGGCGGCAGCTGGTAGGTGGTCCAGGAAGGCGACAAAACCTGAGAATTTGATGGGTAAGAAGCTGGAGCGGGATAGGTGTATTGGATGTAATTAGCAGGCCGTTCGCTAACATGATAATTACCGTATGTCGAGAAATTAAGAGTAAAATTCTAGCGATTTCGTTTTTATATTGTGCGATTTTTTTTCTCAATCCGTCCTACATACGGAAATATTTTAGCGCGATTCCTTGGCCTAACATGTTTTATTATTAAATTTTATTCATTTTTTGGAATACGTACGTGCTATACTTGTACTATGGCAATCTGTAGGGGGTAGCGACCCCCTCCCCTTTCCAACCACCCATCGCCCTTAAACCATTCCCCCCTTCCCCCCTTCCCCCTCCCCCCCTTCGCCCTCCCACCCTCCTCCCCCATTGATTCCTTGCGAGCCGAATTTGTAGCGACCGATTCCTTTTGGTAACAGGTTTTTTTGATGTGATTACATGTTATGCACCATGAGCGTATTCCTACGGTGTGGTGTTCAGTACCAGCAAAGGAAAACCCGTTCTTGAAGACTGTGCTATAATTGCCGATCTACAAGACACTGTTTAGTACCAATAAAGCGTACTTCGCAAGTGTGGCCTTCGGGGCCAAACAATACGAAACAAACAGCCACACGCTGTCGCTAGGCCAAACAAAAAGTGAACACCTATGCCCATAAATCCAATTTTGCAACCCATACACGCTGCCCCTGTCGGAATCCCTCTCCATGTGGACGGCGCTGCCACCAATGGCAGCTCGTCTGCCACCCTCCAACCTCCAAATGCAACAGAGCTAGGAAGACACGTGAGTGCGAGCACAATGCTAGAGGGCATCTAAACAGATGGCCAATTCATTCGGAATCTCGACAGACACCAATCCAGTGGATGTGTTCACAGCGCTAAATTCCATACTAGTACACTGGATCTAACTTAGTGCCAACCCCGCTTTTCGGTTATGTCACAATCGCGCCAAGCAGGATACGGTTGAAGCAGAACTCGACATCCTTGTAACAAGATGGAAAAAAATGGTGTTACTATTTTCGAAATAAGTGTGGCATAGCGATAAGTTTCGTAGTGCTAAACATCCGGGCAATTTTTTCCGCCACTGTAGTTCCCCCACCTGGGGCGAACGTAGTCGATGGCCGATGGCTCGTCAAGGTGAAGCGCCCTCCTAGAGAGCCGTCAATGTTCAAGGCACGCTACATTGCTAGAGGCTTCAGTCAGCGTGAGGGTGTTGAATTCTTTCAGACCTTCGCACCGACCCCTAAGATGACCACTTCACATAGCAGCACAGCGCGACTACGGGCTGCATTCCCTCGACTTCTCCACAGCGTTTCTCCAGGGTAGTCTGCACAAGCAGATCTACCTGTGCCGCCCGCCAAGTTTCTCTAGCACTTTCCCTCATGGGACAGAGTGGTTCCTTCGGCGCACGGTTTACAGTCTGCGGCAGGTGCCTTGGGAGTGGCACGACACGCTGTGTGCTATGCTAGCTGACCTGCAGTTCTTCCCTTCCTCTGCAGACCCGTCTTTCTTCGTTCGCTCACGCCAGACTCCATTCTACATCCTGGTCTCCGTATAGGATCTGGTATTCGCTACTGCAGACAGAGACGCACTTGCCTTGATGAACGCGAGCTGCTGAGGAGACACACGTGCACTGACCTAGGAGAGTTGCATTGCTACCTTGGCTTGCAGATCTCCAGGGATAGAGCAGCGTGCACCATCACTCTTACTCAGTCACACTTGGTGCGCCAGGTCCTTCAGAGGTTCGACCTTCACTTGTCCTCTGCACAGCCTTCCCCACTGCCGTGGATCACAAGCTCTCAGCTCCAGTCCCTGACAAGCCAGCCGAGCCTAATCGTCAATATGTAGAGCTCGTGGGTTGCCTCATGTACCTGATGACTTGCACTCGTCTCGATCTCGCATACCCTCTTAGTATCCTTGCACGCTTTATGGTGATAGGTAGACAGTGACCACAGCATTGGTCGGCTGCTAAGAGGGTGTTCCGTTATCTAGCAAGTACATCGGTCATGGGGCTAGTGGTGGGAGGACGCGGACCAGTGGTTCTCATAGGGCATACTGACGCTTCGTGGGCGGACGACGCTGAGACGCTCATGTCCTCCTAGGGCTACTGCTTTAGCCTTGGTGCAGGCGCCATCTCGTGGAGGTTCACCCACTTGTCGTCTGTTTCCCAGTCCAGCTGTGAGGTTGAGATCGACGCTGGTGCCATGGCGGCACAGGAGCTCCGTTGGCTGACGTTCTTGCTCACTGACTAGGTGAGCGGCCTAGCTCTGCACCGGTCTTGTACGCTGACAGCAGGGCCATGATTCTCCTGTGTTAGAAGCCTCGACTAGAGGGCAGAGAAAAGCACATCCAGCTGCGGTACTTCCTCCTACGTGGGCTACCGTGGCGCCGCCAGGCACGCGTAGTACAAAGTAGACAAGAGCTAGCCAGGGTGGCACTACTAGTGCAGCCACTGGAAGAGAGGCCACAAGGCCAGTCAGGAGAATATGTATAAGAATAGTAGTACAGAATCAAGGTCCTAGCAAGTGCGGAGCTACAGGAACTAGAAGAGGACGGGAAGAACTGCAGGTCAGCTAACGTAGCACGCAGCGTGACATGTCACTAGCGGGGTGTCTGCCGCAGGCCGTAAACCGGGCGCCGTAGGAGCCAGTCGGTCCAAGGGGCGAAGGTGCCACTGAAGCCTAGCATATGACGAATGTAGACCTGCTGGTGCAGACAGCCCTGGAGAAACGCTGTAGAGAATTCAAGGGAGTGTAGCTCGTAATCACGCTGTGCTGCTACGTGTAGCAGCGCCCAAAGAGTGGTCATCTTCGAGGTCTGGGCAAAGTTCTGAAAGAAGTCAACACCCTCGCGCTGACTAAAGCCTCTAGCAACGTAGAGAGCCTTAAACACCGGCGGCTCTCTAGGAGGGCGCTTTACCTTGAAGAGCCACCGGCCATCGAATTCGTTCACCCCAGGTGGAGGAACTACGTCGACGTAGGTGCCGGTGGACCTCCAAGATTCCATCTCCACGTCCACGGTAGCTATCAACTGAGAGGCCAAGGGTCGCGAGGTCGCCTCAGCGTAAGTACGAGGAGTCAGGATGTCAAGGGCATTTGGGTCACCCTGACGGACTAACAGCATGGAGCAGAGATGTGGAGCTGCCTCGGATAGGAAAGGTAGCTCGTACTGCCTGTCCTCGAGGACGTCACTGCCAAGGGCAGGTGCACCCCCGACGAACGGAGGACGGGCAGGGTCAGAGACCAGAGCTGTGGCGTAGTCAAGGCAGCGGGTAGAGCCGAAGTCAGCGACGGCAGCGACAAGAGCATCAAGACTAGATACAGGAATGAACGGGTCAGTAACAAGAGAGGCGAGAATACAAGGAACAAGGGGACTAGCGGCATCGAGGAAGTCAGAGAGACGAGGCGGAGAGACAACAAGCGACGACTGAGGAGGCGACGGTAGAAGAGGAGCATGAGACACGTGAGAGCGGAGCAACCTGGGGTGAGAGCGCTTGACAGGATAAACAGGACGAGAGGCACGCTAAGACCACCAGCGGGAGGGGGGGTTCGCGTTAGGAGACAAGGGACGAGACACAAGAGGAGAACGAGGGGGGAAAACAAGTTGGGGACAAGTCCGGCAGAGGAAACACAGGGCCGTAGACAGGCGGGGGAGGGGGCGGCGGAGGAGGCAAAGAGGGGTGGTCAGGGGAGGGAAGACCGAGGAGGCGAAGGGCGGACACCGGCACCGACTGCTGCTCCTCGCCGATACCAGAACCTCCAGCTACACCACGGCTACCTCCGGGACGTTCCACGACAGCACCCCCAGAACCAGCACCCTCAGAATCAGAACCCCCAAAACGAAAACCCTCTCAAGCACCAGTGCCACCCCTAGGACCGCTAGGACAAGCCACGACAGTACCCCCAGGACTAGCACCCTCTTCAACGCCCGCAACCCCAGAGCTCGCGAACCCTTGCGGTGGCTGCGGTTGCTGCGGCAGCGACTGCGGATGCTGCGACGGCGGCTGCTACAACAGCCGCG